ACTAAAGGCTTTTTGTTGAAGTTGTCGGAAGTTTAGAAGTCGAGATTCGAGCAATCGGTATTTCACAAAACCAAAAAAAAAAAAAAATCATAATTGAAGCTTTCACGCATTCAACGGTTGTTATTATTTTATATTTCACACTTTTTCAAGAGAACTGGCAAGCAAACAAATGATTTCAAAATTTACGTTTCATTTTCATTCCAGAGGTAAACAACAGACTTACAGCTGCAGGTTAATTAAACGAAAATCTTAAATTGAGATGCAATGCTGAGAAAAAGATCACGTCTACGAGAATGTTTTAAAATAAAAACCTACTTTCTGAAAAAAAAACTTTCTTTGAAAGCCTACTTTCTAAATTTTTATTATTTCTATTAGGAAGTTATGTATGGTAATGTTTTTTGTTAAAGGGGTCCAAATCCGCGGAGGGGAGTCCATATCCGCTAGCGGATATGGACCCCGGGGGTCCAAATCCGCTAGCGGATATGGACCGGGGGGGTCCATATCCGCTAGCGGATTTGGACCGGGGGGTCCAATTCTAGGGGGGTCCAAATCCGCTGGGACAGCAGTATTTGTGTTGATTTTGCCAAGTTTGATCATGTCAGAAATTGATAAACTTCGAGGGTAATACGTACTTTTTGTGCCCGCTGCTTGTGTGGGTAATTTCTGTCTCGAATGCATAAGTTTTCTGGGGCTTGACCTTGATTTTGACGGCGGAGGATTAAATTCGGTATAAGTCGAGGACTCTCCAGTTGCGTCCTTCCTCTTTCTCGTGGAATTCTGGGTGCTGTTGACATCGCCTTCATCAGCTGGATCTGGAATGAAGCGGACGTATACAACCTTTAAGTCCGGTATTTGGGCAAGAGTCTTGCACGATGGGCCCTGTTCTCCTGCTAAGATATCACATACGAGATTCTTTCCGATTTTTTGTAGAAAATGCCTCTCACAAGCGCTCTTGATATTACCAATGGTCAATTCCTCCGTTTCGTCAAAGGGAACAAACTCTCTTGGCCCAATCCTTGTATACTTTTGGGCCTTTCCAGAAACTTCTGCTGACAAACGTTGAACTGTCAGTTCATCTTTCCTTCGATGGTCCTTGGGCTGGTTTTTTTTGGTACGCTTTGCTTTAACTTTTTCATTGAGCCTCTTCCATGCATCGGCCATGATGAACTTGAGCGTGTGACAGTAACGCACGCAATGCATGCTGGTAGTGGCAGCTCTCGGCTGGGTCGAATAATTTCATTTTATTTTACTTTGGTTTTATTTTATTTTATTTTTATTTCAATTGATTTTACTTTCACTCTATTTTAAAAATAAAAAATAAATTGAAAAATAAAAAAAAGGGTAAATCAAAATAAAAAAGAAAACAATTTTCTTTCAAAAATGCGGATTTTTCTATTGGCAGTTCTCGGCCACCATACACGTTACCCCCAGTGCAAAGGGAATTGAATTCACAATCAGTAATAAAACCAATAAAAATAAAATAAAAGAAGCAATGACTGCAAATGCTGTAATGAATGGGTTTTAACCACTTTGTGGGTCTTTGTGTGGGATCTGAATACCTAAAGTAAATAACTACAATGTATGAAACCTCTTCACCTACCTACAACTGTCATTCCTCCACTTCTCATAGCGTCCTCTAAATCCATCTCTAATTTTCTCAATTTTAAATCAGTTAGAGACTTTTAGGGCATGAAACGCACAGGAATTGCATATGGTTTCTTGTTTCTTAATTCATCCGCAATCATAAACACCAATACATGGCTAGCAGCAGTACGCTTCTTTGAGAACAACTCTTTTAGATAAATTAACAGGCTTGATTTCAATGCGGTAAGATTTCTGGTGTTTGCATTTCTCATACTGTCTGCAAATTATCTCAGCTCCACTTGCAAATTTCTGCATTTCTCCACCAGTTTTTCAAATTCCACCACACTCCAAGGCAATTCCATCAATTTCTGGTCTGATGACTTTCCAACTTGAATTGCCTTGGTGTAAACACCACTAGCAACCTCAACACCAGCAGTAAGAAATTCAAAATCACTCTCCAGATCAACCAGCAACTTCTCTATTTCTCTCTTTTAGCAAGCTTCACAAATACACATCTGGTCTTGTAATCAGTATACAAATTCTTGATGCCCTTTCTGATATCAAAGGCATCTGCCTTGATCCACCATCTTCCTTGTGGGTTAGAAGTTTTTGCTTGTTTGAGCACTTTCATCTAAATTTAGTAGGATCAAACATTGACTAACATTTAGAAACACTGATAGCAAACATAAATGCGTGAACAGTCTAGTGACCATCCTCATTTTAATTGCAGAAACCTAAAGGTTATACCCAGTAGACTGGATTTCTTACAAGTACTCATTGAATCCACTTGAATTATACATTAACCAAGTTAAGAATAAGCAAGAAACACAGTCTTTAAGCAGAATGAAAAGAAAATGCAACTCAAGTTAGATGGCAGTGAGTAATGTTTGGAGTACCTAATAAACCAGTATTTATTTGAGTAAAAATACTACTTTTTAAGAAATTAAAGTTATTGCAATCAAAATTTGAACTTCTTTACCTTTAGGCCATCTATTTCTAACTTTATCATCGCTACATTTAAATTAGTTATCAACTGTCCACCAAAAATGATGCAGGGAAATTACAAAACTTACTTGAGTATCAACTGTTTTAGAAAATCCAGAAGTTGAGATGTATTGCTGGATCTGACGTACTCCAATGCTTGCAATATTAGTTTTACTCTTCAAAGAAAAATGACATTGTATACATCAGGTTATTTCAAAGCCAAACAACTTACACCCGTACACACCCAAATAGAAATTATTTTCCTTAGCACCACATGATTACAATTATTGTACCAAACGTCTGGAATTAATAATATTTGTTTAGGAACTGGTACCACAGATATTTAAATAAGGAAAACTGTGTAGTTCTGTTAGTAATGTATTTTTTTACGTTGGCCATGGGAAAAATAGTTCTATTTCCATCTAGCAAGTGCAAGATGAGGAAAATCAGTTAAAAAAATTAACAACTGATAAGGTTACCTCAGTTTTGATTACCTGGGATACAAAGGGCACATCAACCATACACCTGGAATAAGAAATGTGTGTTGACCTTTAACCCTCTTACATTGGCCTTCAACAACCAATTTAATACCAACCTTCAGAGGATTGTACATCCCAGGATTCCTTGTTGTACAGTTTCCAGTAGGTTGCACACCATGAATCCTTTCCATATGCTGGAAGGACAATAATCCAACTTCTATATCCATTTGTTGGCTTGTTCTGGCATTGGTCCACAAGTGGGAAGCATGTGCTATTTCTTTGATGTCCACTGTCAAGCAGACTGAAGACTCCTGTAATGCACTTTGAATAATGTCAATCTCTTCCACAGATTCCATTTCAAAAGACTCCTCTTCAAGAAACTCCACTTCAACTGACTCCTCTTCAACTTCAACAGACTCTTCTTCAACAGTCTCCTCTTCCACTGACACCTCTTCACCTAATACCTCTGGTTCAATATCATACTGCCATGCTGGTCCTCTGTGGAGACATAGCCACTTATGCCCAAAATGGGAAAACATTGTTGCCAGCCACGATACATAATGCTCCTCAATACCAAGCATTTGAGTTGTTCCCTTTGCGAAGAAATTAATGTTATAATCCAGCAAACCAAATGGTATTTGGTTAAGAGGCATCTGAGGAATATCATCTTCAAAGCATTTTGCTAAGTCAACAAAGTATGTTTGTCATGAGTAAACAAATTTTTCATGGCGTTTAGGCTTGAAACCAGAAGGTCTGTTTTGAGATATTGAAGGAATTCATGTCCCCCACTTTCCATAACAGCTATCTTAAACAAATGACTTAGAATCTGCGACCGCAACAAAGTCTTTGATCAGATCCCCAACACTGCGAGTAAGTGGTTGTGTATCCTTACATGGAGAAAACTGGAAGATAGGGGACAGAGGATTATCAAGTGTGAGTGCAGTTGACCTTTGTGAAGTGCTGCTGGGCTGAAGTTCACCAAAATCAAGTCCACTGGAAACATAATCAATTTGCAATGCCTCCTCTGCCTCTGACAGCGTCTTGAAATGTATAGATAAGTGCTTTGTCACCCTTGTTCAACAACTGCTACCTAAAGACAAAAGAACCAGTAGTGAGTTCCCCAAATGAGGAAGAAACAGTGTTACTGAGCTTGTTGATATTAAAACACATGAGATTAACATCATGGAAATTATAGCAAAGGATGGAATTGTTATTCAAAATATAATGCACTTTTTTTTTTTAAACAGTTTTATTTACAAGACGATCACTTACACTACTTACAGTATTAATTACACTTACATTGTACTTGCTACTTACACTACTGATACTTATACTTACACTAATTATGCATACACTACATTACGATACATGTATTACAATACTATTAACATTAATTTAATTTACGGTTGGCGTGTTTACAAAGTTCTTTTCAATTAAAAGACAATCACAAGTAAACATACAGGTCTCAAAAATGCTACATTGCTTTGGACATTTACTTTTGATATAGCTTAAACAAATGTTTATGAAATTCAGGGCTCGAACTTAACTTTTGAAGTTAATAGTCGAATGGCTAGTACATGGTCAGGATTCACTAGCCAAAAATGCATTTCTACTAGGCAAGTGTACAGCACAAAACTATCATTTTTATAGATTAAACAAACACAAGAAAATGTAAAACTGCTGTTGCTATCAAACTGTAATCAATTTATTATACAACTGTACATAAAATTCATTGTACGTGTTCATGCTTGTTCGTTATTCCAATTACCTCGACAACAATAAAACCCAACTGTACATGTACTGCTGCAGACATTACTTCTTTGTGTGACTTAAGCTTCTAGCTGCAAACAACAACTGCTCATTCAAAATGCCTAGTACCCTAGTAGTGTTCAGTATTATAAAACAGTTAATTAGGTGTTCCCAAATGGTAGGAATGATCATTGAAGGCAATGATCAGTCCATCAATGTAGGCTGTCTGCTCCGTTCTGACTCCTCCAGCCAGTGCCCAACTGCAAGAACTGCAGTATAGTCCTCATGAGAAGGTCCACTGATAGCTATTCTCATCAACTCATCAATAGTAGAAACATTCAAGGTTGACCTCCAGTCAGTCATGATTCTGTTCATGCAAGAGTTCCCCTGCTCGCAGCAAGCAGTCTGGCAAGGAATTACAAGACATAATTCCACTAAAATTAGCAGGTTTGGATAATCATCTTTGCAAAACATAAATTTGTTCTTCCAGAATTCGCTTTGCCTGAGTTCAAGTTCTGCTCTCTGTACATGGAATTTCAGACTCATCCATTCATCAAGACAGTCATGCAGGCTGAAGTTGTGCTGCTCTAGAGGTACCTGAAAATGACCATGTAGTGTCTGGATTTCATTTTCGCCATGTAAGAGCAGCCGATGCCTGTCTGTAACTGGCCAACCTCGGTGGTTTGTCAAGACAGCTGCTGCTGACAATACTGGATCTGTTTCCATCCCTTCAAACCTCTCTTGGATGAATGTCATGGCAGCATTCACCGCAGATGCCTGGATAGCATTAATAGCCTGCCTGTCTGCATCCCTTTGAAGCTCTACGCCCTTAAATGTGTTGCCATCCCCTACTTCCGTAAGGAAAGAGTTTAGTTGCTGACCAGGTCTTTCCTTGAAAGATTCAAGTTTTGCTAAAAGGGCAGTTAAGTTATCTTGAACTCTTGAGATTGTTATTCCATCCTCCTGGAAGCTAAGACTCACTTTGGAAAGTGCATCTACGATGTCAAGTAACAGATGCATGATGGCAACAAATTTGTAGCTTGTGAATTTTTTGCTGTAATTCACAGCCCTTCCTTGCATCTGGTTACTGGCATCCCTTGCTTGTGAGGTATGTTGGAAGTGCAAAACTACAACTTGAAAGTTCTTTGACAAGAGAATATTCAGTGCTCTTTGCATATGTGGTACCCACCTTGTACCGTCTGCTTTGATTGCCTTATATGCTCGCACTTCCATACTCTCAGCTAGTTCTTTAAGCTCACGGACTGCCTTTGGAGAATAATGATAGTGCTTCCAAATACCTTGAAGCATTTCTTTGACATCTTTAAGAACTGGAACATCTGACAAGGTGTCTGCAAATGAAAGTTCTAACCTATGTGCAACGCAGTGTACCTTAATAATGTGAGGAATTCCTTGTTTAAGCAAGCCATAAACACCACTTATTTCTCCAAGCATAACATTTGCTCCATCTGCTCCCAGGGCCACTGTCTTCTCTTTCCAATCCCTACACACCTCTGTCATAGCAGTTTCCACAGCTGCTTTGATTCCAGGTGCTTTGCTGTTTTCACAAGCCTTCAGCCCCACAAATTAATTTTCTTTCCACCTTTAACCAAATGACATGCATAAACATCTTCTACCTCACGTACTCCAACATCACATGCACTGTCTGCCATTACACTTATGAACTTTGATGACTGAAGCTTGCTTGAAAGTTCATGCTTTAATTGTCCTGCAATAGCCGTTACAAACGTTTTGCATGCTTTGACATTAATGTAGGTGTTTCCAAGCTCAACTCCGTGTTTCATTTCAAGTTTGCACAGGTGGGGAAAGCTTGTAAATGGCATCTCCCTCTTTGCAACAAAATAAGCTATATCAAACAATCTTTCCATCTTCTGGGAGACTTCTTTTGACATTGACAACAGAGCGCGTGGTAAAGGAGCTAGCTGTGGATTCTCAGAAACTTTAGCGGCCGCAACACAACGTGTATGACCAGTTGAAGTTTCGTGGCTTCTCACAGATTCTATTTTAAAGTTCTGACTGCCAGACACGAATGTAGAGGATGAGTCACTGCAAGTTGGATTGTCTCTACAAAATTTGCAAAACATCCGGTTTCCTTCTGAGTCGTCCGTTAGCCATGTGAAGTCTTTCAACCACGACCGTACGAACTTTCGTTTCGATGAAGATTGAGATGTTGAAGAATCATCAATTGCTCTCTTTGAAGTGGAAGTTGTAGATGTTTGAGATGATTCAGAGGATTTTGATGACGACAGAAATGCCCTGATATCCATACTTAACGAGAGCAATCACGCGTGGCATTTCAAGAGCAATCACGCGTGGCATTTCAAAATGGCGGAGAAGCGTTTTTTGATAGCATTGCATCATGGGTATGTGACTTGATCCCATGTTTCCTCGATCAAGCAAGTCAATATGGCGGCGAACGAACACGGACTTGTAACGAAACAAAGAATTATTTTTCGAATATAGAGTTATTTTTCTTTTTTTATTTCATGCCAGTTGTTGAAATGAAAGAATTTTGAAAATGTTTGAAGACTTAAGTTATTTATAGAGGCGAAAATTAACTAGCCAAGATGGCTAGCAGATGAGAAAATCCACTAGCCAAAACTCAAAATCTACTGGTATTTGGCTAGTAGACCACCGCCAAGTTCGAGCCCTGAAATTAAGTATAAGTCTAACCTAAAACAACAGCAGCATGAAAAATTAAAGTAAAAAAGCCCACGTGCGATAAAATTTCGGAAGTTCTTTTTTTGCGGTCGTGATCTCTTTTAGGATAATGCACTTGAATAAAGTTCGACAAACCTCTCCTTGAAGAATTACAAGTCTTGTTGACCGCATCAGCAACCATCCCAAAACTTGGGGTCAAACTGTATAGGCCATTTGTCAAAACCAGCGTTGCACAACAATAGGCCTTTTGCGAAATTATAACATGCTATAATCTAAATGGAGGTATTTTACACTATAAACACTCGAAGGACTTGCTCACTAATAACAGGAACGTTTGAATTTATTGAACACACACCGATTTCTTCGGCATTGACATATTCGTGAGTTGGAAATAAAAGCGCTTTTATTGCGCACTAAAAGCTAAATGGAAGAAAAACTCAAATTTGTTAAGAAACTAGCCGATAAATTAGAAGAGAATTCGAACTATCCATACTTTTCGTCGTTTATATATTCAGAGTGCCTCTGAAAGTTCCTTTAAGGAGGGGCGTTTTGCTGGCTCTTCGCAGAGCAGTTCTGGCCACCTTCAATGATCTTGCTGTCGCTGTTGGGAGCAAATCCAATACTGCCAAAACTATTTTCCCTAAAGAAAATATGTCAGATTGGGCACTCTGCCTGCCACTCCCGTTGACAATTTCGGAGGCAATGTGTGGATACTGTTCTCAATACTTCTCCTGTTGATGGGTGGACATGGACATCGCCAGCTTGGGATCTGACGAGAAACGAGCTTTCCCAAAATCGATGATCACAGGGTTCCACTCCTCTCCTCGTTGCTCCATTACCACGTTGTTTCTCTTCACGTCGTTGCTCTTCACGTCGTTGCTCTTCACGTCGTTGCTCTTCACGTCGTTGCTCTTCACGTCGTTGCTCTTCACGTCGTTGCTCTTCACGTCGTTGTGAGGAATACCACACGAATGAATGTGGTTTAACGCCTCGATAATTTTTTTTTAAATTTCAAGCCAAGTAGGCTTTTCTAATTTTTCTTTCTTTATGGCTTTGTGTAAAGTGAGGCCTTTGTTTTTTGTTCCTGTGGAACTTGGTGACAAGTCGAATGGGCTCGCTCTTGGTTATGATACCAAAGAGTAGAGGGACACCACGGTGTTTGATCATGGTCGCTTTGTAAGTAAGTAATAAGTTTATTTAACGAGGGTAAAGACATTGATTACTGGTCACCCAGTAGTTTTCATAATGGCCCTCCTACAATTAAAGTACTAAAATGTATCGATTGAATAATTGACTACCTATATAATCTACAAACTAAAATTACATTAAGAACTACTATTAATACAATATTGATTGATTTACTACTAATGAAACTAAAAAGTTTTACGAATCTTAAAATGATCAAGAAAAGAAGTCATACTACGGTAAAATTTAACTAAGTAATTTTTAAAATTAGTATGAGAGAGTGTCTTTGGTTCGGGATCAAGAGCGTTCCACAAACGGCAAGCGCTTGAGTGAAACGTTCCTTTTACAAACTGGTGTTGTAATATTGTTATTAGAAGCAGATCTCGTGTTATAATTATGGGTGTTACTTATATGTTCAATATATTTATTAAAATAAGCCGGGCAATGTCCTTGATTTATTTTATGAAGCAAATAAAGCTTCCTAGTACGTATGATATCATCTATAGGCAGCCAATGTAATTTGTTAAAAAGCTTGACTGAGTTTTCGTGAGTATCAGCATCTAAAATAAGCCTAGCACATCGTTTCTGTAGTCGTAAAACTCTTTGGAGATTACCAACGGTACAGTTGCCCCAGACCGTACAACAATACTCTAGTATTGGCTTGATGAGGGCATTGTATAACATTTTCCTGCAAGCAAAGGTTAAATAAACCTTTGCTCTTTTAAGGAGACATATTCTAGAGTTTAACTTTTTAATCAAACAGTCAATGTGTAAGTTCCATGAAAGGTTTGAGTCAATGACAACTCCGAGCCGCTTTTCCCCTGCCGCTTCCTCTAATTTCCTCTAGTATTGGCTTGATGAGGGCATTGTATAACATTTTCCTGCAAGCAAAGGTTAAATAAACCTTTGCTCTTTTAAGGAGACATATTATAGAGTTTAACTTTTTAATCAAACAGTCAATGTGTAAGTTCCATGAAAGGTTTGAGTCAATGACAACTCCGAGCCGCTTTTCCCCTGCCGCTTCCTCTAATTTGATATTATCAATATAAATTTCCATTGTGGCATATATGTCGACTTCAGTGTTCTTTAACAGGAGGGTAGATCATTCATATAGATAGAAAACAGAAGCGGACCTAAGATGGAACCTTGTGGTACCCCGACTTCAAGATTTAAAGGGCTAGACAACACACCGGAGACAGATACAACTTGTGTGCAGCCTGTTAAGTAAGATCTGAACCAGTCTAGTGTGTTTGTTGCAGTGTGGTATTTATCAAGTTTAGCAAGTAAAATGTCATGGTTGACTAAGTCGAAGGCCTTGCTTAGGTCTAAAAAGACAGTACCAACGAGTTCACTGTTGTCCATGGCTTTCAACCAGTTGTCGGTAATATTAAGCAGAGCAGTTTCACATGAGTGATATGGGCGGTAAGCGGACTGGTTACTGTATAGTAGATTGTTGCTTCGTGGCGCACTTCGCTTCTCAGGTGAGCGAGGTCGACGTTCTTCCTCTCTTTAAATTCTTTGACAGCTACCACCATATCTCTGTAAAAGGCTTGGTAACAACTGCCAAATGTCCCAGCACCAAGAAACTTCGTCGTTCTCACAACTAGCGATGGGTCAATTTCTTTGAACTTTCGCCGCTCCTTATCTTCGTTGCACTTCTTCTCCTCTGCTAGCTTTTTCATCGCTTTCTCTGCGGATTTTTTTTTGCCTCCACCTCTTTCGTGCTTCCTCTTTGATCTTTTTCAGCTTCTCTTTGTCCTTCACTATTCTTCGTTTGTTCCTGGCCATGGCAGACTTCACTTTTACCAGATATACAATTCAAAGTAATCAGTAGAAAACGAGTGAAATGTCCAGCTATTGAAAGTGTTTCAAGTAATTACACTAATGTTAGTATCAAAGCGCTATTAATGAAATTCTAGAAGTTCTGCGTAGCACGGAAAACCTTCGGAAGAAGAAGTGTGAGAAGACCTCCTTACAATGAAAAACGGCCTATTGTGCTTTTTTAGTACTAGTTTACTAGCGGCCTTGACATCACATTACTGCACTCGAGGCAGAGTGTGTTACATTCGTCAAGTTCTACAATGGACAAGAGATCGTTTGGCCTCCCCCAAAAATAAGAACGGGAAGGTCTATGAGTTACAAGCAATGGATAAGTGGGATTGTAGAAAGTATCAATTCCTCCCTACATCCGAAAGCCGCTGGTATGTAATTTTTCTCTTTTTCGTTCTTCACACGCTCGAATAGTTTTTAAAATTAAAATTAATTGTGTAATCAAAATGCCACGTCGCCAAATATGGTTTTAGTTTAACCAGCGTCTAGTGAGGTGCTTACGCAAAAAGTTTTTCGAAGGGAACAACAGTGCTTACCGATTTAATATCTTCTCAAGAACATCTCAAAGTCTATCAAAACGCAGAATTAAAAAATAGCAAGAATTACTGGTTCATGTTAAAAATCATCTAGGAACACTTCTCATTTCAAAACTATCCTCGAGAGCGCTGTTACTTTGCTCTAGTTGTTTAGAGTGACTTACTCATTACTTTCATTGTCTATGCGCCCTATCTTTGATGAAGTATGGGACATACAAGAAGTCGTTCTTTAATTCACCTCTAAAACAAAATTCATAAGCTCTTCTCCCATTTGGACACCAAATGAGA